GCAGCAAATCACCGACAACAGCGAGGCTACCACCGCGATAACTGAGCATAACCAACAAGCAAGGACGACCTGCTACCTACCGCGAAGTACTTACTTGCCTACAGGACGGACATACTCCACTACTCTCGCTGGAAACGTCACCAGTCGAGCCCAAGGTCTACGCCGTGATCCAAGCGAACGCTCAACGGAAGGTCGCCGCAAGCAAACCCGAGGCGGCGCACCGACAAATAGTCATCAGCATCACTGACGGAACGGGCAGCTCAGTCGACCTCCTGCACATCATGGCCAACACAATCACTACGGCCACCAGCGGAATGGACTATGCGCTGATCGAAGCCGACAACAACCAGACGCCACCAGCGAAGAGCGCACAACTAGGTCCAAATTCAATGACCCTTATCCGGTGGCAAGAACGCGGCCATCTACGCAGTGGTCCCAAGACGAACCTGGCATGCACACGACCTCAGCGACCCGGAAGCACGCAGAGCCACGAGACACCGCGCGAGATTGGCATTTTGGGGGAGAAACGACTTCTCCGAGAAAAGCGCCAAGATAATCCACGAATCCACTGCCACCGTCGGGGAAGTGCTGGCCATCCTCTACTCCGCAGCCGAGCCAGACATCCCGACGATCGCCGTCCACAAAGACCCGCAAGCACTCGCGGTCGAAGGCTTCATATGCTGGGAATTACCCGAGCAACAGCACATCGCCAACGCGACGATATCAGGGAGTGCACCGCGAGCCACCCAGTCCTCGGAAAGGTCAATGCGATTACCAACGACCGACTCAGCGACGAGGACCTCATCTCCATCTCCGAAACCGCCGAACACAAGCTCGAGACTGCCATCGCCGAGGCCATCGGTGCCATGATAATATCAAGATGGGGCTTTCGAGTGGCGAGACGGGAGCCACCGCATGTCATCGCCAGCCGCTGCGATAGATACTAAGACCTTGATAGGTAAGAAGCTGGGCAAACACCACGACATCAACTGCCCCCGGAAGAACAGCAGGACCCAGACCCGCGGCGATCATGCGGACAGCAACGACAGGACTGAGGGCCCAAATCCTGAGGAGGCCCCCACGGGAGGGATCACCTCAGGCTCGAGATCGCAACATTGTGCTGGAGATGCCAGGACGCAAAGTCCTGATATACACCTGGTGTGTGAAATAACCATGCATGGTTGTTTTCAACCATAGCTGACAGTATGGAAAACAACAAAGTACAATGGTAACACATGTACATTTGAGCGCATTTCGACGTTACCACGGTAGTCAGCAAGCAACGCCGCCACAACTTACCATGTTAACAATCCTTCCCCCCTCCCCAACCCCTCTTGTCATCCTCCTCCAATGCCCTGGGCATCCATCCCCCCCCTCTCTCTCCCCCTTTCTCATTTTTTTGTCTCCATATCGCTCTATATTTCGGCTGTCTATCTCTCGTATCGTATCTCCCCCTCTCTAGTTGTTTTCTCTTTCTCTCTCTTTCTGTTTCTCTCTTTCCCTTTCCCTCTCCAGCTCTCTCGGCTGTTGTTGTTGTTTTTTGTTTCTCTCTCTCTCTCTCTCTCTCTCTCTCTCTCTCTCTCTCTCTCTCTCTCTCTCTCTCTCTCTATCTCTCTCTCTCTCTTTTCTTTCCCTGCCGTGCGCGCGTGTGCGTGTGTGTGTGTGTCAGTGTGCGTGTGCGTGCGTGTGTGTGCGTGCGTGTCCATCTTCGTTCTGGCGCCCTCGCGGCTTCCTCTCGACCCCAATTCTCCGCCGCCGCCGCCGCCCCCTCCCCGTCCTCCTCGCCCCCGCCCCCCCCCCTTCCCCCCTTGCTCCTCCGCCCTCGCCCGCCTCCGGCGTGGCCGCTGGCGTGGCCCAAACCCGGCGGCGCCGGCGGCCCGCGGCGCAGTGGCGCGCGGCCCCAAGGACCGCTGCGCCGCCGCCGCCGCGGGCGAGGAGGCGGCGAGGTGGGAGCGGGAGGGGCGGCGAGAGGGAGGAACAGGGCACAGGGGGCGGAGGGTGGAGACAGAGCAGAGAGAGGGCCTGAGGGCAGGGTGGCAGGGTGGAGGGAGAACGACGAAAGAGACAGAGAGAGAGAGAGAGAGAGAGAGAGAGAGAGAGAGAGAGAGAGAGAGAGAGAGAGAGAGAGAGAGAGAGAGAGAGAGAGAGAGAGAGAGAGAGAGAGAGAGAGAGAGAGAGAGAGAGAGAGAGAGAGAGAGAGAGAAAAAGAGAAAGAGAGAGACTGAAGGAGAGGGACGGGGATTGGGACGGCAGGGAGGGACGGGAGAGGATGCAGGGTCAGGGAAGTGTTCATTCTCCTCCGCTCAGCCTACCTCTTGTTTTGTCTGACCATTCCCCTCGCTGCCTCACTTTCCCTCTCCCCGTCCCTGCCCTAGTCCATTCGCCTCCTCCTCTCCATCGTCACCCCTCCCTCCTCATTCCTCCTTTCGCCTTCTCCTGCGCCCTCTCTCGCATTCCCAGCCTCTCTCCCTCATGTTTCTTGTTCTCACCTCTCCTGTCGCCGCCTTTCCCTTTCGCCCTGATCGCATCCCCTTCGCCCCCATTATCATCCACCTCGTTCCCCTCCCCATCCACCCCCATCCCCGCGCTGCTCCTCGACCCCTGGATGCTGCAACTGCCGATGCTGAAGGTGGCGGTGGAGGTGGATGGCCACCCCTACCAGTGGAGGGTCCAGCGCCGATCCAAAAAATCCGCGCGGACCTCCAAACGTTTCTGTTTGCGTCACCTCGTTTTTTTTTCTTTCTCGACACCCGCCCGCGCGGCTGGCCTGCCTTCCACGCCCCCTCCCCCCCGAGAGAGTTCAGCGGCGCGCCGAGGGGTCTATGGGGGAGGGGGCAGGCTTCTTAGAAGGAGGGGTGCTTCTGAGAAGCCCCCAGGGCTTCCAAGAAGCACCTGAGGACTTCTAAGGAGCACCCTGCCTTTTAAGAAGCCTACCCCTTCTCCCCCTACCCCCCTCGGCGCGCCGCCGAAGAGTGGCTTGGCCCTCATGGCCTTGCACGAGCGCGGGGGGCAATGGAGTAGGATGGGGGGGCGGGGAGGAGGGAGGGGGACGGGCGGGGGATGTGGGATGGGAGGGGGAGGGGGAGGAGGAGGAGGAGGAGGAGGAGGAGGAGGGAGGAGGAGGAGGAGGAGGAACCGCCTCCGCAGTTGGATGCGAACTTTTGGCCTCCCCTGGAGGAGGAGGATATGATAGGATAGGATAGGATATGATAGGATAGGATAGGATATGATAGGATAGTATAGGACTCGGCCTTGCGCGTGTGATGGGGATGTCAGCTGACGCAGCTATACACGTGGTGTGCCGCTCGTGTATGCTACAACCTCGAACGATCGCATATCTACTATACGATGTTATGGGTTACGCGCTCCGTGCAGCACTCGACAGGTGTGTATCGGGGCTGTTCGCAATATTCATTGTCACGCACGGGACGGGGGGACACCCCTCCAGCCTCTGGCCCCGCGGGGGCCGAAACCTCACGGCACTGGGTAGGAGGGGGAGGAGGAGGAGGAGGAGGAGGAGGAGGAGGAGGAGCGAGAAGGAGCGCAGAGATCTGGAGCGAAGCGGCAACATCCAGATTCTGGCCTGTACTGTCAGATAAGCCCCATCCTGCCTTCCCCCTCCTTTCCCCTCACTCCTCCTCCATTCTCCCCCACCTTGTGGCCTTATGGCTGATCAAGCTAAATGCGCCCGGCGGGCGGACTCCAGGCGGACCCAGCGGGCGGCCAGCGCCGCCAGATGCCATCCCGCTGATGCAAGAGGATGGAGATGGAGACACGGACATCGACGACGGTGGCCAGGACACCCCTGTTTGCCATTCCCCCCCCTCCCCGCTCCAACCTTCCCACCCTTCCCTCATCCTACCCCCATGCCCCGCCCCGCCCTCTCCTCCTCCTCAAACCCCGACGCCCCCGCACCCTGCGCCCCCCCTCCTCACTCTCTTATGCTCTTCTTCCCCGCTCTTCCTCCTTCCCTTCCTCTTCCCCCCCTTCCCCCCCCTCCCTTCCCCCCCTTTTTCCTCTGCCCTCCCTCTCCCATTTTTCCTTCCCCTTTCCCCCACTCCTTCGAAGAAGAAAAGAGGTCAGAAACATATGGCATAAACTGTCAGAGGCCCGCGCGGATTTCCTGGGGAGGCGCTGGGGCCCCCCCCTTGGCACTGGCGCGCAGAGCGCGCCAGGGGCGGCGCCCAGCGCCGGGGGCGCCGCCGCGGGGGCCCAGCGCTGATCCAAGAAATCCGCGCGGACTTCTGGAAGGCACTGTTTACGTTGTGTTGTTTCCTCGAGAGGAGCCGCCTGAGAAGCGGCGCCGAGGTCCAGCGCCCCAGCCCGTTGGGCCAGGGTCTCTGGGCCCCCCAACGCCGCTTGGAATCGTTGGCTGCTGGCAGGGATCCATGGCGCAGAGTTTCGCCAAGTGCAATAGTTCGCTCCAACGCCTCGCAGAAGCGGGCGCGCTTGCAGGCGTACCCGTGGGCCCGCCAGGCCCTCCAGGCAGCGCCGCTGCCAGGGAACGAGTGTTGCTGGGCGTCGCGGCACCCCCCTCAGGTGTTAACCAATTGGGCAATCAGGGGGGAGAGGGTGGAAGGGGGTAGTTGGTGGGGCGGGGGGTGACGGCGCAAGGGGGTCGCGGCGAAGAGGATGGGGAACGGTGGGTGGGATTGGGGAAGAGGGGGTGATTACATGGCATTACATGGGGATGGATGGAGGGATAACGAAGGACAGGGCGAATCAGTTTGCGGGGTGGATTTGGGGCGAGGGATGAGGTGGGGGGCCGGGGGTGAGATGGGGATGGGTGACTGGGCGGATGGAGGGGGCGGGGCGGGTGGATGGGGATGGTTGGGTGGAGGGAGGAGATGGGGAGGGATGGGATGAGATGATGAGATGGGGAGGGATGAGATGGGGATGGGATGGATGAGATGGGTCAGGATGAAATGGGCACGGATGGATGGGGGGACACAGGGATGGCATGGGGGACAAATGGAGGGATGTCGTAGGTGTCGCCTAAGGTCGTGAGGTGGCGCATTGAATCAGCAGATGCTCCAGACGCCCTTGAGCAGGTGGTCATGAATCTCGCTGCGCAGGCTGACATGACCTGTGATGTGCTTGGCTATTGTTCGATTCCTGTGTTGTTTACTGCGCGGCTGCAGCAGCCGCTGATCCTGCCGCCACTGCCGGATGACACGTTGCCAGGCCCTCAGGAGTTGTCTCGGATTTTGAAGGGCCGCACGTTTTTTGGCCGCGGCATCCCAGTGATGCGCTTTGAGAAGTTGGTCGACACATTGAGCCAGCGCCCCGACTTCCAGGTTTGCATTTCAAAGAGAGGTCTGCAATCTGCGACTGTCTGGAGACCCTTGGCTGAGATGGTGTTGCGCAATCTGTGGTTCAGGGGCGTTCCAAGCAATGTGGGTACCTGGACTTCAGCGGGCCCATTGGGGGGCCGCCCTCGTCGCCACAGCTCGACGCGCTTCGAAATATCAGTCAGCACGCGCCGCAGGAGAGGCCCATGGAGTAGCAGGGGTAGCAGTGCTAAATCTGCGGGCCCCCATCGCCTCCCCCCCGCCACCCTCTACCCCCCGCTTCCCCCAATAGGGTGTTCGGGGGGGGGGGGGGGGGGGGGGGGGCGCTGGCGCTTCTCCGGGGGTCCCAGGTTCACGCTGCACGTCGTCGCCATCAACCGGCGGACAGCTACAAACAAGATCTTGGCCCCTGGGCTCTGAACGCCCCTCCCGAGGAGGACGATGAGGAGGAGGAGGGGGGGGGGGAGGAGGAGGAAGAGGAGGAGAAGCGCTGTGGCGAGCCAACCGCTAGCCGCACCCATGACCGCATCAGGTTTCCAAGGCTAGCTGCCTACCAGTTCCGAACCCACTGACTCTCCCTCCCTGGGCCTCGCGTGCTCGCGCTTCGCGCATGCCCATACTGGGGGCACTGCGCATTCATGCGCTCTAGTATGCAGTGGGGGGGCACAAACAACATGAAAAACAATTGCGGTGGGGGGGAGGTGCGTGGACCGCGCCAACTTGTGCTGCCTGAGGCTGCCTGATTGCTGAGCTGCAGACCAGATCTCCAAGGGTGCTTCGCTGCGGTTGTGGAAGAAACAAGGTGGAGGAGGGGGGGAGGAGGATGGGGGTGGGAAGGGGGAGGGGGGGGGGGGGGGAGTAGGAGGATGGGGAAGGAGGATTGTCAAGGAGGAGGAGGGCAGGCGCGGCCGCCGAGCGCTGGGCGTGGCTCGAAAAGTTGGGGCTTGGTTTGGGCCGTCGGGTGCCTGGCCGTTCGGGGCTCTGCGGGGCGGCCGCTGGCGGCTGCTGGAGGGTCGGCCCCCGCGGGGTGGCGATCTGCTTGGCTATGGCCTCCCTCCTCAGGGTCCATTGCCTGGGCAGCTTGCCTTTCGGGGTGTCCTTGGCCCCTCGTCGCCGTCTCGGTGGGCCTTAACCCCTACTCCTTCTCTTCCACGGGGGTAGCTAGGCCACCCTCGCGGGCGCGAAGGTAGTCGCGCCTCGCGCGTCGCGGCTTAGGCGGGAGGGTCGCACCTCTCCAGGGGGCAGCGCAAGGGCGCGAAGATACTCGCGATTAATCGCGCGTTGCGCATCGTGGGAAGCGATACGTGAACTTGGGTGACTTTGGGTAGTGGGTAGGGTCAGGGTCAGCCACTCCTCGCGAGGCCCCTGGGCTCCCGCCGCGCAGAGTTCTTCAGCGGTTCGTTGCAGGTGCAGGCGCCCAAGCCCCAGTCCATGCGCCAGCCGCCCGAGTGCCATGGACTTGGCCGATGCCTATTATCACGCGTCCCGCGCGGCCATGCGCCAGAGGCAGAACGCCGCTTTGCCCTCTCTCTATACTCAGGTTTCTGAATGCTACGCGCGACTTGCGGGACCTGGACAAGGCGGCTCGTGCGGGCCCAGCGTGGATGGAGGCTTGTCTGCCAGGAGTTGACATTGCGCAGCTTGGTTTCGTGAGGCCCCCGAGCCACTCAGCGTTGCACATTGGGAGGGTCAAGTTAGACATAGCGTGCATGGTCATGAAACGGTATGAGTGGAAAAACTCCATGCACGACGTGGTTAGGTCCATTGGGTTTGACGCTTCGCCCCAAGTCGGAGTTAAAATTTTTGGTACTGTATCAACAGTCATGCGCGTGACCGGCGACCCATCTTTCCAAGAAGAGCGGCTGCCACTCGTGCGTTTAGGGCAAGGACACCTTAAGATGATCGATAAACTGATGGCATTGTTGTGGCAAATATGGCTAATAAGTGGTCCATCTCAGCATACCATGCAGATGTATCTTGACAGTGTCCGTTCGATTAGTGCTGACATGGGTGTTGAGCGGGGCTTGTGTGACGCGCCAGATGTTATGGGCGTGTTTTTTGAGCATCTTCGAACTGGAACAATTGTCCACGCCCATATAGATACCAAGAGCTACCTGTTCAAGAACGCAATGTACATGCCTGGATGGAACCATACGTTTGACAACATTTTGAAGGACACGTGCCACAAGATCCCATGGCTCCACACAGAAATGAGGTCAGTTTTTGGCCAGTCTTTGGGCCAACCCACCTGGGAACAGTTTTTGATCCGTCTTCGGGCCGCCCCACCTGGGATCAGTTTTCGGCCAGTCTTTGGGCCGCCCCACCTGGGATCAGTCGTTGCATCTGGGATCTATGTTTGGCCAGTCTTCGGGCCACCCCACATGGGATCAGTTGTTGGCGAGTCTTCGGGCCACCCTGCATGGGATCAGTTGTTTTGGCAAGTCTTCGGGCCACCCCACCTGGGATCATTTTGTTTGCCGATTGTAAGATTTATTTTTATGGGTCCTCAGGGGGGCCGAGAATGGCCCCGCTTGCCTCCTCTCTCCCCTAGGCCCCCAGGCCTTTCCCTCTGCCGCGGCCGATGGGGGAGTCGCACGCAATTTGTTCGTCCTCTGTTTTCTATTGGAGGTGGAGGGCGGGGAATTGCTGACGAGGGGAGTGGACGATGATGAGGATGAGCAGGGGGGGGGGAGGAGAGAGTGAAGGAGGAGGGTTAGGGAGGCGGGCATGAGGGTGATTGGACGGGGGGGTGGAGGGCGCGGCCTCAGGTTCCCGTCGTGGTTCAGCAAGTTCAAGGCCGTGAACGGTATTTGGAGGAGCAAGGCCAACAGGATCGCGATCGCCAGCGTTCCGGGTTGGACTGCTGAGGAGAACTCCCCCTTCCTTCTCGCCCTAGCCCCCAGTTCCCCAGTCGTCCTCCCAGCCCCTCCCTCATCCCTCATCCCCATGCCCCCTCCGCCCTAGCCCTAGTAAGCCTCCCTCGCGTGCAGTGGTAGTTTATGCCATATGGGTTCCGATTGTTTTATCATTGAACACGCGACGTTCCCATGCCGGCAACCAACCGACCTCCAGGCTCCAGGGCCTGCAGGGCCTGCAGGGGGTTGCGCTTCTTGTGAAAAGGTCTTGTGGCGGAGCCCCTACTGTGCCCCCCAGGCTCGCCTCCCCCACTTTCCTTCAGCCTCGCCAGGAGCGCAGCACCATTCTTGAGGACACGCCTTCTTTCGCACATTGGCGGTGGAACACGTTATACGACACCCTTGAGCTATATCTGGCTAGATTGTTTGTCAAGCCGCATTGGCACCGCATTGTTCAGCGCTGTTTCCAGAGACCAAAAGACGCTGAGTCCCAGAACGCAGCGAACGAGGCATACGCTAACAACCAATTCCAGTTGCGTGCCCGTTGGGTATTCTCCATAGCATCTGCGTTGGATGCCCATCGGTGTTGGGGAGCGGGCTGCGACTGCCACGACGAGGAGCTCCGGCGGGGCATTAAGATCGACTGCCCCTGGAAGGGGCGCCGCCTGCCAGCCGCTGCAGGCCGCATTCGTTCAGCCGTGGGTGCCCTGACATCTCAGGCTCTGAACGGATAAGGAATGTGCTGGACAGCCAGCACCCCATGTTGATTTATTGTCCTAGTGCGCCCTGGACACCTACAGCCTATACGTAGCTGCTCTGGAGAATTTCGGTTTGCCCGCCCAGGGATTCGCCAGATCTTACCGCAAGTTTCTATTCTAGGATTGTAGTCGATCCCAATGGGTGCGTAGATCCCCAAAGATGGTCAGGCGTTCCTCTCCTTGTTCCCCCCCTTTTGGCCCTCCCTCTCTCTGCGCTGCACCCTTATTCCCCCCTATTACTCCTCATATGTGTCCTCTGCTTCGCGCCCCGTCCTTTCCCATCGCTCTGTCGTTGCTGCTGCCCACCTCGCTTCCGCCTCAGGCTCGCGCGATTACCATGGCCCATGTGGAAGGCGATCAGACGCTACTCCTTGAGATGACAGGCGCCTTCAACTTCGCTGCAGGCATGTGCTTAGAGAAATTCCGTTTTCTTTCAGAGATCCCGCACTTGCTGGCGCAGGCGGGGGAGCGGAATGCTTTGGGGGCAGGGGGGGCCCAGGGGGGATATGGCATCCCCCGGGGATGGATCCGCTCTGCATTTTTCAATTGGCTCCACCAGAAGGCAGATTCCCCAGACATTGCCAAGGAATGCTTGGCCCAGTTTGACGCCCGTCCTGCAGCCGAGCACCATCGCCTCAGCGTCTTTTTCTGCGGCGCTGGATGCTTGGTGGAAATTGGGTTCGATTCCCTCCACCTTGTCTTCTCCCCGTTCGACTTTACCCCCCCCCCCCCCCCTGCCCTGCCAGCCCCCACTGCCCCAGTTGACCCATGGGAGCTCCTGTTCCAGCTGGAAATCCTCGCCCCATCAGCCCTTGCGTCAGACCAAGTATTTGCGGAAGTTGTCTGCATCTGCCATGTAGTTTATATTCCTGGTCTGCCCGCTGGGCTAGTTCTCTCATGTCCGATGCAGCGCCGCACGCTTCGCCAGCCCACGTTGTGTCATTATCGCAGATTTCCCGCGTGCTCGAGATGATTGGATGTTGTTGGGGTTCGGTGATTTCCCCGAGCTGTCGCGTGAGACTGCGCGCGGGGGGCGGGGCGTGGGCCTCTTGGGCCTGGCGGGCCCAAGAAGGCCCCCAGCGGGGAGATCATCGCTGAAGATCTTCACGCAAGGGGCTTTGCGACGATCCGCGCAAGGGGCGTGCCGAAATGGATGGAGCTCCTTGGCCGCGGGCCCGCTGGGCCTGGGGCGCAGGGGGTCTGGGGGCCTCCGCGGCTCCAACTCTTGGGGAGCTTTGAGGGCCCCCAGCGTCCTGGGCTGCCCGCGGTGTGGCCCAACGGGATCTCGCAGGGGGGCCCTGAAGGCGTTTGGGGAGGGCCTCTCAGGGCTCTTTGGGAGGCTGCTAGGGGACCCAGCTGGGCTCTTAGGGGGCTTCGGGGGAAAGGGGGGGGCCCTCTCTCCACGGGCGCCATCGGAGGCATGGCAACAGCGCGCCTATGGCTGCCGCGGGGTCGGGATAAAGGGTCCTTCGTTACCCTTCTTTTGAGAGGTGGATTGCGAAGGGCCCTTTCCTGGCTGCAAGCCTCCGGGAGCTGCAGCCCCCCGCGGCACGACCAAGATGGCATGCTGTTGCCAGCCAGAGGACTCCTCCCCCACTCTGTTCCCTCTGTCCACCTTCCGCCTGGAGGGTGGACAGAGGGGGGCGCCCTTCCGCCCCTCTGCCCGAGCCCGCCTCAACGAGGTAGGGCGGGGGGCGGAAAGGCGCCCAGGGGGCGGCCCCTCCCTTTACGGGCACTGCGCCTGAGGGGGCCGCGGGGGGGGGAGCTTCGCCTCCCTTTTGTTTTCTTGCTTGAGAAGGCGCGCGTTCTGACCACAATTTCGAAGGGGGGGTCCAGCCGTGGCGACGACGAGGAACCCTGGGCCGATAGGCTGTGGCCGAAAACCGCCCACCTCCTTCCTCCTGGGGCCCCATTGTCTGGGTGGTCCCCGCAGGGTTCTCTCTTCTGGATGATTGCGAAGGCCTCGCGGCCAGCGCCGCCGCCGCCGACCCCCAAGACGACGAAGCTGAAAACGAGGGGGGGGGGCAAGGGGAGAGGAGGAGGAGGCAGGTGCAGGAGGAGGGGGAGCAATGGGAGGAGGAGGAGGAGGAGGGGGGCGTTTGGGAGTTTCTCGGGGCTTGGGGCTTGGGGACTGGCCATCTTTAGCGAGCCTTCAGCCTTCAGCTTTCAGCTATGAACCTCCCTGGTCCTCTCAGTCTCCTTGACCCCAGAACAATCTTACAGGATGAGGGGGAGGAAGAGGAGGATGGGGGGGGGGGAAAGAGGACGCGGTGGCGGTGGAGGTGGCCTGTCCCTGAGGACAGCCGCTGCGGGCGCACTTGGAGGACCTGATTGCCGGAGAGCCATGCCACCCAGCGCTGCACCGCGAGGTACGAGCATTGGCGATCAGCCATTGTCTGGACGAGAGCCGCCTTGAGGGAGTCCACAGATCAGTGCATAGTGAGCGGGAGAGGGCACATCATGCTTCTATACCTTGGATATCCGCTTCGATGTCGTTGGAAGGGAATCTAAAATTTGCGTTCGATGTTGTCAACCATATGCCAAATGGCGAGGACGTGTTCAAGTCTGCCTGGTACGCCCACAAATCGGTCGTGGTGCGGCCGCCCCTGAAAAACAGAGTCTTGAGGCCAGCCAAGATTCCCTGGAAAGAGTTCAAGATGAAGGTCTACAGAACAGATGATGAATCCATAGTGGATTGGGGGCATTTGATGCCGTCTTCTTTCCAGGACAGTTACCCCAAGGACAAGCCGGTAGGACCAGGCGGGCTGTCGCAGTCAAAATTTCGAGCTGAATATCTGCGTCATATAATCCGCGAAGGTTGTTTCTATACGTTGCCAGTGCATGGTCCTGGGGCAGGCTTTCTAATATTCCAGCCGTTGGAGATCATGTCTGCGAATCGGAAGTGGGTGTCCACCAAGTCGCGGCAATGGAGGCCCAGCCCGCAGTCTGAACAGGTTCGAGCGCTCGCGCAGCAGTATGAGGTTTGGGGCGACTCTGATCACATGAGAAATGGAGGTCGTATCGAGGTGCATGCGTTTTCGGATCCATGTGCCATGGACATCCTGAAGCTCGCAGACTTCACTGCCATGCGAAGTCTGCTCAGGCAATGGCGGCCCATTTGTTTTGATTATTTCCCACCCACTACCCTTCCCCTGTCGAGTTAGGACGGGGGAGGGGCAGGGGCGCTTTCGAAGGGTCTGCGAAGCCAGCGGGGCGAACGCCAGTGGAAGGTTAGCGGTGGCCAGCAAGCGGTAAAACATTACACTGGTTCAGCAGAAGACTTTAAACCTATGTTCCTTGTCGCGCGATGGGTGGGGGGAGGGCGGGGGAGGGCAAGGAGGGGGGCAACAGTGCGATGCAACGTAGGCCAACGATGGGTTGAATTGAACGGGGTGGAGGTGGATGGGGTTCAAGCGGACGGATTTGAAGGGGAGGGGCGGGGTTGATTATGCGAGGGGGGTTGATTATCCCTTCGACCCATCACTGTTTAGGGAAAGCGCCTCTGGCACTTGACTTGGGACCACCAAAGTTGACGGAGAGGGGCGTTTTTCAAAAAAGCCGCCCTCTCAGAGAGATCAGTTTTGGTATTCCCAGTTGTGGGGTTTTCCATTGCCTGCCAAAAAAAACAATAGCCAGTCTGAGGATATGGAACCACAGCGTGAGCGACCTGGAGGGGTGCATATGCTTGGAGAACCCACGCCCGATTGAGATCACTGTTGGGCCACTGGACGACGGCTGCCCAGAGTTGTTGGTGGTTGAGCACGCTTACTCTCTAGGGTGGCGACCTGGGAAGCGGACAGCCCCGCATGAACTTGCTATTGAGAATTGGCAGGATGACAAAACCTTCAAGTCAGCTCGGACACCAGCGTCTCTTACATACTTGCGATGTTGTATTTGTTTGGGTGAGTTGAGAGATCGTGGATTAACGCGGTTGGCAGTCGGCCAAAGTAAAGGGTACTATTTGGCAATTTTAGCTGCTTCTCGCCCCAACAATGTAGTGACAAACGCAGGGGCGAAGGGGTACACGCGTTTCCTCACCAATATCGCAAAGGGGAAGGAGACGGACATGCGCTTGGCCCTGGATGATGATGACGCGCCTCTTGTAGGTGATGGTGCGGGCCTTGCATTGATGGACCAGCGGGTTAGACTGGAGGGAGGGAGAGGAAGAGAAAGGTAGGTCGAGGAAGAGGATGGAGGAGCAAGGGGAGGGGTGGTAAGGAGTAGGAGGAGGAGGAGTAAAAAGGAGAGAACGAGGGGTGCGGAGAGAAGGCCCAGGGTGGAAAGGAAGAGGTGGGCCAGCCACCCCGATGCCCAAGAGGACGACGTCGACGGCAACAGCAGCGCCATCGCCACAGACGATGAGATGGCCCTGCCGCAGCCGCCCGCCCTGCTGCCGCTGCCAGCGCCGCCGGCGGTGGCGCCGCCATGCGCTGCTGGCGCGGCGCCTGCCGGGGCACCTGAGGCAGCCCCAGCCAAGGCAGCGGCTGGGGCCAAGGCCAAAGCTGGAGCCAAGAAGGCTGCAGCCAAGGCCAAGGTCGCAGCCTCATCGCCATCTGCCTCTAGTGAGTCTTCAGGCAGCGACTCAGACATTCATGGCGACGGCGCTGGCGCGCCTGACGTTGCCGATCCAGGCAGCGATTCAGACATTCACGGCGACGCCGCGCCTGAGCCCGCATTTGTTATTCCAGATGGTTTTTTTGCTCAAGTTGTTGGTGGCCTTCAGTTCTATAAAGAGGAACATGATGGCCCAGTTCAATCGTACACGCGCGTCAAGCTCAAGTGCCCATGCCAGGATCTCCACGGGAAATGCGTGGGGAGTCGTAATTTAGGGCGAGCTCAGATGCGCAATCTTGGCGCATATGAGCCCATCGCTTTTTTGGCTGTCTGGCACAGCAAAGCTGCCAATTATGCCACAAGGGCCGCGCACCTTAAATTTAAGCCTGGCGTCGCGGAGTTACCCGAAATGAGGGATTGGCTCGACAGGCATGGCCTGCCTCATTCTTGAGCGGAAGGATTGCGGTCTCCCGCCGTCCGTCTCCCGCTCTGCATCGGCTGATGCGCTTAGCGCTGCTTGCTCGTCACGGAGGAGGGGGAGATAAGGTGGCACATTGCAGGGGTGGGCCAGGGGGCAAGGATGGGGGAGGAGTTGAGCTTGGGGCACTCGTTGGCGGGCCCTCGACGATTCCATGTTTTTGGGGGCCAGGGGGCGCGAAGCTAGCTAGGCGATCGCCCCCTGGGCTCCTGCGCAGAAGCCCTTGCTTGGAGGGCACTTTGCACGATGCGAGGCAGGTGGCGCCCTGGAGGAGCCTGGGGCACTCGTCGGCCAGCCTTCGACGATGCCATGTTTTTTTGGGGCCTGGGGGCGCGAAGCTAGCCAGGCGATCGGTCGCTGCCCCCCTGATGCCCCCGCTCGACGCCTCGACGCATGCGAGGCCAGAGGCGCTCTGGGCTTGCGCGGCAGGCGCATCCCCCGCTCGACGCATGCGAGGCCAGGGCTGGAGGCGCCCTGGGCTTGCGCAGCAGGCGCATGCAGGACAAAAAGAAAGCGCAATCGCACCCCAAAGTGAAAGCATCATAAGGCATAATGATCATGGATGTGGAAGGGCAAGAGGAGGAGGCAGGAGGAGGAGGAGGAGGAGGCGCAGCCTCCATTCCCCCGCTCTCATCTTCGTCCCCCCCCCCCCACACCCCCCCACGCCCATGTCTGATGGCCCCCATCGCAGAGCAGGTCTACAGTCGGCGAAAAGGCTCCTAATATCCCAGGCGATGAGCGCTCGGGTTCGCCAATTTCGGGATAGTTTCACCGTGCTTTATGTTTGGAAATGCGCCCACCGTATATGTTATGGGCCGCTCTTGGGCCCCTCGGAGGGCTCTGAGAGGGCCCCAAAAGGGCCCCAAGAGAGCCAACAGCCAGATAGATCACCCTCATCAATTTATCATGATGGGAACGTTCTGAAGAGGCTCTGGCTTCTCTCCTTCTGGCCCGGTCGAACGCCCGATGTTGGCCCCAGGGGCAGTTTTCGATTGGATCGAACATCCGATCTTGGGCCCAGGGGCTATGTTCGACTGGGCCTCGTATCTCCAATGTTGGGCCCAGGCTTTGGCACGCAGACCTATTGATAAAAAATCTAGAAAAAATGAAGAATCGGTCGAAGGTCCGCCCAGGTCCAGGGGAGGGGGTCATCGCGGGCTCTCCGAGGCCCTCTTTGGGCCATATTAGGCCACCTTGGACGCTCCAACTGCCCGCTGCCTGTGGCACGCTGACCTACTCTTGAAAAAATTGAGACTCGGTCGAAGGCCAGCCCATTCCAGGGGAGGTTTGGGCTCTCAAACCGCCTCTTTGGGACATCCTGGGCCATCCTGGACGCTCAACTGCCCGCGGCACGCTGACCTCTTGCAAGAAAATTAAGAATCGGTCGGAGGCCCGTCCAGGCCCAGGGGAGGGGGTCATAATAAAAAAAAAAAAAAAAAAAAAAAAAAAAAAAAAAAAAAAAAAAAAAAAAAAAAAAAAAAAAAAAAAAAAAAAAACAAAAAAAATCGGTCGAAGGCTCGCCCAGGTCCAAGGGAGGGGGTCACCCGGGGCTCTCTGAGGGCCTCGCTGGGCCATCTTAGACCACCTTGGACGCTCCAAGTGCCCGCGGCGCGCTGACCTATATTAAAAAATAAAGAATCGGTCGAAGGCCCGTCCAGGTCCAGGGGAGGGGGTCATCTTGGGCTCTCTGAGGCCCTCTTTTGGCCATCTTAGGCCATCCTGGATGCTCCAACTGCCCGCGGCGCGCTGACCCATTCCAAAAAGATGAAGAATCGGTCGAAGGCCCGCCCAGGTCCAAGAAGGGGAAGGCGGAGGGGTAGAAGAGGAAGCGCGCTAAACCACACGCGCCCAGAGGACTGGTGGGATGCACGGCGTCACTGCGCATTATGCGTGGAGCGGCGGACGCCCATGTCAGATGGGTCAGGTACTTCGATGTGGGCTATGTTCGAATGGGTCGAACATCCGACCTTGGACCCAGGGGCCGTGTTCGGATCGGATGTTCGACCTGGTCGAACAAAGCCCCTGGGCCCAACATCGGGTGTTCGACCTGGTCGAACATAATGTCCAAATCCAGTTTTTTTTTATAATAAAAAAAAAAATATGAACTGCCCCCCCCCGTCTCCCCCTCCCTGGATCCCGACTGCCATTATTTATCTGTCCCCCCTGGGAAACAATTCCATGGGTGCCGATCAATGCCTCTTGTATACACCTCGGCACCAGGGAAAGTGCCAAACGAATGTTTACATTGGGTTTTCGCCATTGGGTTTTGGAATTCAACATCGCTCGCCTGATATACAATATGCATGCATGCTTGGGCCGCGCGTCATTCAGTGCCGCATGTCCACACGGGGATTGGGCTTTCGCCGTTGGATTTTGGAGTTCGACCTCGCCCCTGTTGTATCAGCGGCATGCAGCCGCCGCGCGCGCGTGTTGGCGATTGGCGTTCGTGCATTTCAGTGTAGCATATCCACATGAGGATGTTCCCGTCTTCCGATCAGAGAATGAATTTTTACCTTGGGTTTCCGCCATTGGGTTTTGGAGTTCAACATGGGTCACGTTGTATAGAAATCAATCAGCCAGCGTGCCGCCGCGCGCGCGCGCGCGGCGGCAATTTGCATTTGTGTATACAGCGTCGCATATCCACATGAGGAAGTTCCCATCTTCCGATCAGAGAATGAATTTTTACATTGGGTTTTCACCATTGGGTTTTGGAGTTCAACATGGCTCCCATTGTATAGAAATCAATCAGCCAGCGTGCCGCCGCGCGCGCGCGCGCGTTGGCGATTGGCATTTGCGTATACAGCGTCGCATATCCACATGAGGAAGTTCCCGTCTTCCGATCAGAGAATGAATTTTTACATTGGGTTTTCACCATTGGGTTTTGGAGTTCAACATGGCTCCCATTGTATAGAAATCAACCAGCCAGCGTGCCGCCGCGCGCGCGCGCGTTGGCGATTGGCATTTGTGTATACAGCGTCGCATATCCACATGAGGAAGTTCCCGTCTTCCGATCAGAGAATGAATTTTTACATTGGGTTTTCAACATTGGGT